ATCTTGGGAAAGATGCGTTTACACTGCAGGGTTCATCATTGCACTCGGACGGGGTCGAACTCGGGACCTTTCGGACCTGGTGTCTTGACTACGAAACTATTTTGCTGGCCACTGTCTAACCCGGTCTGTACTACTATTAATACTACTAGTAGTATTAATAGTATTTATTGTTACGTAGTACTGTACAGTACTACGTAGTACTTGAAAAAGTCGATAAGACCATCGTTTAATTGCATGCGGTTTCGAGTCCATCGTGTAGGACTTCACGAGCATCATGCCAACGTGTAGGCCTTAGAGGAGAAAAACAATTACGCCACGGATCATCACATTACACTCTTCACCTTGTGAAGTACACGTCATGCGGGCATGCAGGGATGTGGTTGCAATTTTGACTTGAAGTTGCATCCATCTTCCGTGCGGTATGAAGTGGTACTCTAGTTGAAGTACGCAATGACGTTAAACTCTCAAACTCTTGACTAGTACCGGTACATGTACCAGTGACTTCCCTCACCGTCCGGCGGACAGACTAAGTACACTCGGTGGGGAGAGTAATGTCTGATGCGACGCAGCACGCCCATCATCAACTCTGGCATTTTCTTGAGCGCAGTGATGTGAATTCACCAAACTACACGTTCTTTAGGCGACTTTCGGACTTGAGCGGGCATATAAAACGTAACACCAAGCAACGTTAAATCCCATAGATCATCCTATATGTGCACCCGCAGACACCACCCTGGTTCAACCGCTGTGGCCTCAGTTTGCTTTTCCCTCCCCTGCGACCTCTACATCCCATCAAGATGCTGCGATCTGTCACTAGACTAGCCGCGCCTGTTCGTGCCCGCATGTACGCTACATCGTCTATCGAATCCCTCGCCGTACGATCCATGGTGAGCTCGTTCCGTCGCCTCGGACACTTGGAAGCTCGGTTAGATCCGCTCGGTCGCGAGACACCGAGCGCTGTCGACGAGCTGGCGCCGTCCGCGTTCTCGTCTCTGTTTTCCACTCCGTTGTCCTCTACTGGCGAAGTGTACTTCCCGCACGCCACCACCGATATGAAGGTCCTGTACGCTCAGTTGCGCTCGACGTACTGTGGCTCGCTAGGCGTGGAGATCGAGCACTTGAAGCACAAGGACGAGCGCGACTGGCTCGCGGCACAGGTGGAGCATCCGTCGCTGTCGATCACGCCAAGCATGGAGCGCAACGCGTGGACGAGCATGCAAACGGCGGAAACGTTTGAACACTTTCTGGCCAAGAAATTCTCGTCCTTTAAGCGATATTCTGGCGAAGGCGCGGAAGCCATGATGCCTGCGATCCAGACGATTCTGGACACGGCCAGCCAGCACGGCACGTCCGACGTTGTCATCGGTACGTCACGTACACACACACATAGCCCTAACAAAGTGGCGTAGGCATGCCCCATCGCGGCCGCTTGGCCTTGCTTGTGGGCATACTTAAGTACCCCGTGCATCAACTGCTGCGCAAGATCCAGGGATTCTCCGACTACCCGGAGCACATTGTCGGGCTAGACGACGTGTCGTCCCACATAGCCCAAAGCGTCGACGTCAACGGCGTGCATGTGAGTCTGCTGCACAATCCGTCGCATTTGGAGATCATCAACGCCGTGACCACGGGCAAGGTGCGAGCCAAGCAGGACAGCGGCAAGGCCGCCATGGCGCTGCTGTTGCATGGCGATGCCGCCTTCTCTGGTCAAGGCTGTGTGCCCGAAGGTAACCAAAACCCCCACAACTTGTTTGGATTCTGCGAACGAGTTGACTTTGAGTGTGTAGGGCTCAGTTTGAGCCAACTGCCGTCGTTCACGACAGGCGGCACAGTGCACATTGTCGTCAACAACCAAGTGGGCTTCACCACAACCAAGCAAGATGGACGCAGCACCACGTACTCGACGGACGTGGCCAAAGGCTACGACATTCCCGTGTTACATGTGAATGGCGAAGACATCCCTGCCGTGATTCGGGTATGACAAACAAGGATCGATGGCACTTCCTTGTGATTGAGTGGATTCACATTTGAGTGGCGGTGGTAGGCCGCGCACATTGCCGCGAATTTCCGCCACACGTTCCAGAAGGACATTGTGATTGACTTGATCACGTACCGTCGACACGGCCACAATGAAGTGGACGAGCCGCGGTTCACGCAACCGGGCATGTACTCTGCGATATCGTCTCGTCCGAGTTTGCCAGCTCAATATGGCGCCCAATTGGTCGACAAGAATCTTCTCACACCGGCCAAAGTGGATGCGCTCAAAGCCAAATTGAACGCCCATTTGGAGCAAGAACTCCAGAAATCGGCCACGTACAAAAACCATATCGAAACGTATCACTTTGCCCTTGGAATGATATATATATATATGTAGGTACGTCCCGACGACTGTGGCGGCATTCGAAGGCAACTGGAAAGGTCTGCGGCAGCCCACGACGGCCGACATGCAGGCAGCCGTGGACACTGGCGTCGATAAATCCATTCTCCAAGCCCTCGGGGTGGCGTCGGTGACCGTGCCGCCTTCGGTGCCAGTGCACAATCGACTGGAGCGCACGCACATTCAAACCCGATTGGCCTCATTGTCTAAGGCCAACCTGTCCGACATAAACGTGGATTGGGTACTCTTTTCCTCCTAGCCGACACACATACGTTATGAGGTGGATTCTCATGATGATATAGGCCACCGCAGAAGCCATGGCGTTTGGATCGCTGCTCCACGATGGCCACTCGATCCGTCTCGCCGGACAGGACTGCCGTCGCGGCACCTTTAGCCACCGCCACGCAGCGTTCACCGACCAAACCACCGACCAGCATTACTTTCCGTTCAGAAACCTTCCCAAAGCACTCAACCCCACCGGTCGGCGTTTCGACGTCGTCAACAGCAACTTGTCCGAGCTGGCCGTGATGGGCTTTGAGTACGGATATTCGTGGGAAGACCCGCGTGCTCTGGTTTTATGGGAGGCCCAATTCGGCGACTTTTTTAACGGTGCCCAGATTGTGATTGATCAAGTACGTGTGGATTCACTCAAGGAACTCGTATTCGCAACCTATGAACGAACGTGTGTTGTTACGTAGTTTCTTGCGTCGGGGGAAACCAAGTGGATGCGTCAATCTGGTCTGGTGCTGTTGTTACCCCATGGGTATGACGGCGCCGGACCTGATCACTCGAGGTACAAACTCCTGTTGTCCATTTTACCTCAAATTTGATTGACTTTTGGGCGGATTCACGAAATCGATCGATCGATTCTTTGTATTGACTATTGTATGTAAAAATTGCCCAGTGTCACACTAATTGAATTAACACACTAATTCGATGGTGCCCTGTTGGTCCAAGAGTGAATTTGATTGGCTACTTGACTTGTGACTGGGTTTTGATTGGTCGATTTATCGATTGTCGTCTGCCGATTCAGTTTTTCTGCTCATTCGATGCACCCCAACCTCGAATTTCGAATCGACTTGACAATGTTCTGTATCATCCACCCACACTAACTAACTATACATATACTCCACGAATATTGATACCATGACGACACAGCTCAACTCGACTAGTAACAACTCGCGGTGACGACGATATGGTGGTGGTGATGATGTTAGTGGCAAACCAGAACGGTTTTTGCAGTTTGTGAATTCGCGGGCGTACGAAACCGCGGCCGACACGCCCGAGTTGGAGTCGATCAACTTGAGCATCGTGAATGTGACCACGCCGGCGCAATACTTTCACGTACTTCGTCGCCAACAGCTGCGCGACTTTCGCAAACCGCTGGTTCTGTTTGCGCCCAAGACGTTGCTGCGACTGGCTCAAGCCACGTCCAGCCTCGACGACATGGCGCCCGGCACGACCTTCCACTCGGTGCTCGGTGACAGTGTCGCACAACCCTCGGCCGTGCGTCGTGTGCTGCTCGTGTCTGGAAAACTCTACTACGACCTTGTGGCCCAACGAGCCCAGCAGCAGCACCAGTAGCCACATGTCCTTTTCGTTTGCTCTTGTTGACGGATAATATCGTAGACAAGATACGGCGATTGTGCGCGTGGAAGAGCTCGCGCCGTTCCCCGCCGACGCTCTCAAGGCTGAATTGGCCAAGTACGCGAACGCGACGGATGTGGTGTGGATCCAGGAAGAACCGGCTAACCAAGGGGCATGGGCGTATGCCAAGGTGCACTTGGACAAACTCGGCGTGCCCACGCGGTACATTGGCCGCCCATCGCTGCCGGCCACGGCGCAAGGGATGGGGAAGGCTAATGCCAAGGAAGCGCAAGAAGTGATGCGTCAAGCATGGGAACTATTGTAATAACTATATCAATTACCTTCCCTCCCATATACACACATACTGTACTAGGTACTACTGTAGTATTATACTTTCAGGTAGTCGAAACTATGTAACTTAATGTTAGTTCACGTGGACGCATAACGTAAAGGGCCAATTTATGACTGTATGAGCGAATTTATGTTACGTAAGTCGTATGAAAATGACCCAATCATAGATTGTCATTTGAATATGCACCAATCATGCAGTGAACCTCTGCATATCTACTCACAATTACATACAAAAAGGAAGGTTAAATTTACGAATAAAATTGGCAGTCAAAATTATAGAGGTTCCGCGTCTAAAACGGGTGCATAAGACAGACCTTGATCATAGTACGGTGTTCATCTGGGAACTCTCTACCTTATATATTTTAATATATTTATAATATCTTTATGCTACACTAGTACTATAAAGGCCCGTCTGGTAACTTTTCAAAAATAATATTCCATTTTTTGGCAAAGTGGGATAAACCAAAAATGCCATTTTCAAAATGGAGGTAAAAGGTCCATTTTGTAATATGGCGTTTTGGACCACCTCAAGGAGTAAATCCCACTTGGAATTATTGGATTTGGGTTAAATCTCTTCAAGCAAGACATGTTTCATTTTTGATCAGATTTATTGAATTCGGCCCCAAAATGGCGTTTTGGGTCACAATGTTGTAATATTCAATTTGCCAGATAGGCCCTAAATGAATTCTAAAAGAAATGATGAGATAAGCCCATTTTTCGAAGTCAAATGAAAGTTGTTTGTCATTTACTGTTAAGGCAGGGATGTTATCCGAACTATTTTCGAGGATTCTGAAATTATATCAAAAATATTTCTTAATTTCTATCGAAAACGTGCAAAAGCAGGAACGGACACTCAAAAGCAGGGATGAATCATCCCTGCTTCAACTCAGGCGTCCCTGCTTTTGACGTTGTGTTATCCGGAAAAATTCACGTTTTAGCCAATCAGGAGTCGTATTTGCGTGGATACTTCAAAAAGCGTGGACGGGAATGTTCGCAGACCAGCCCCTAAGGCATTTTACCGTAACGTTAGTATGTATAAGAGGTGTAATCTAACAATACCGTACACCAGGATATAATTCACTACGTACTAGTAGTACTGCACGTAGTAACCAAGTGCATGTGCGTCTTCCGTACAGGGCCTCGAGTCGTTCCCGTGTGGCTGGCTACTGTACTGCATATTGTAGTGTGATGTAGTACTGTAGGCATTTGATCACAGTTCAACTCACATTATTTCACTGTCAGTCCGTGACACACTATTTAAGGCAATTCATTGGCTGGCATCACCAACAAATGGACACCAAAGTGGTGTGGTCGACGGCGCTATTGGCCTGTGCGTTGGGCGTGGGCGTTGGTGTTGCTGCATCCAGCATCTTCTTTCCGAGCACTCATGATGCAACGCCCGAGGACGACACCATTGCAAACCTGCGACGGGATCTCGAAAAGGAGAAGGCATTGCGGGCACAGGAGCGCAGTGGTCGGACGCATGCGGAGCGGGATGCTCGGTTGCTGGCACAGAAACAGCTAGACAAGGATGGCTACACGTTCGAACCCATCGGCACCGTGACTTCCTGCTTCCGCGACCGCCGAGGTACACCACGACAAGGCGCGTTGGTGCCTGGCAGCTTGGCCCGGATAACCCTGCATGCGAGCATTTCGCCCACGTCATTGGAATGTCTTAACCAGTTTAGCCACATGTGGGTGTTGTTTGTGTTCCACGAAAACACCAACCTCGCCAAGGTTACCACGCACAAGACTGCCACGTACCCCTCGAAAATCGCCCCCCCACGGTACTCAACTACCTAATGGCTGATTGGCATTGAGTACCTACCTACCTCACGTGAACGATCCCTGTAGTTTGGGCGGGAAAAAGGTGGGCCTTTTCTCCACGCGCACCCCACACCGGCCAAATTCCATCGGCCTCACTGTGGTCAAGGTCGACGCTGTCTCGGGGTACGTTAGGGATTCATCATCGGTCCCCTCCACGAATCGATGATACCTAATGCGTCTTCTAGTCGATTCGTCGACATCAGTGGCCACGATCTGGTGGATGGCACACCGGTGCTAGACATTAAACCGTACGTTCCGTATGATAACGTGGCGTCGCTGGTGTGTCCGGAATGGGTGGCTGAGAAAGACGACATTTTGCCTCGTCCAGTGCACTTTACCGTGGAAGCTCAAGTGCAACTTGAACAAGCCATCCCAGCCATGCAATTCTACACGTCCGTGGCGGCCATGCGGGCCACGATCGACCAGATTCTGGTGCTGGACATTCGCAGCATTCACCAAAAGCGAGGCGAGGCGTCCGACACAGAGTTTCATTTCCGACTGGACCATCTCGACGTGGTGTTCAAGACGCTAGACGACTTTATTCAAGTCACGCGCTGTTCTGTGGTGGACAACAAGACAACCAAAACATCTCGAGAGCAAGGTCCGAACAACCATCGAGAAGACACATACGGACACGGCGGACTGCAAATCGAACAACCCCTGGAATAACATGGTTGGTCTTAACAGAATGAATGGGCGCTACACTAGGAAATACTACTGTATGTACGTAGTAGCACATAACGTTAGTATCTATCATCCATCGGTTGGTCGAAAACACATTTTTCCGCCCTAAGCTTACATCGAGCACGGCTGTCACTTTGAAGGTGGAGTTGTTGAAACCTGACTGCAGTTGAACTCTATGGAAACCATACCACCAACCAGTTGGTTTTATTGGCCGACCACAGTACTCAAGCCTACCACCTCATCAACCAATCGATAACAAATACTTCTAACGTTAGGTAGTGCAAGGCAACTTGGGGCCAGGAATGCAAGGGTGCAATTTATCACAGTTGCAAAGGCCTGTTAAAAGCTGGCTACACGTTGGATGCTTGACGGATGCCCCCTTCAAACATCACTTATAAGGCATGCCATTCAGTTCACGTTAGATATTCAACCCTTAACTGTTGTCTTTACGAGTTGGCTTCAGCAGATTGCAAGACATACAGTATTAGAGGGGTTTAGGATGTCCTTATCGTTGACCATATCTCATAGCTGATGTGGCTCACATAGAATGGTAGGACTGACATCACAATGTGCTTCGGTCGCTGACGAATATCGTTTTCATTTCGAGACGGGTGTGATGGTGGGCTTTGCAGTAAATCTTGGCCACCATGCTAAAGTGCAAAGCCTGACTACTGTACAGTATTGTGGCCATGTCTGGACAAACAACGCGGAAACTTGGTCGAAAACCAACCTTCTCGAGAGGGTCCCCAGTTCACAGAAGTCGGCTTTGCTCTGCATGAGGCCCCTCTGGCCCTCGGAACTAGGACAAAAGATCTCCCTTCTAACCCCCCAGTCCCAAACCCGAGGAAGAATACAGGTCCCAGTATCTGGGACCAATGTAAAGGCTAGCAGACCTACTGTACATCGATTGCCATTGACAAATAGCTAAATGCATTGTAAAGTACTACACTGTATACGTACTCCCTAACTACAGTGAGGCCTGGACCTTGGGTAACGTTTGCAAAGTTCCTAACGTTATACGTATTATCCGACCGGTGGAGTTGCTATAACTGGGATCCGAAGCATATCCGCCGTTTCCACGACGAGCCATGTCGAACGTCGATCGTTAAGCTTTTGGTAAGTTACTGTACTGTACTGGTAGCCTAGCCCCAATTCCAAATACAAATTCTGTCAGGGTGTGCTTCCATGTACCGTACGTTTGGGCGAACCGTCTCCCAAATTTTCATAACTTCTTCACTGTCAATTTTGCTCGAAATACCGTCAAATTTTGGCCTGTTATTGGTACAACTACATAATCCAGCCACCTCAAATTATAATTGAAACGGCCGAATAATACTGCCTTGAAAGCCAAGAGACGTTTCCTATAGTACGATGGCAATTTAAAAGTCACTTTCAATTTAAATATCCAAATTTTTATTCGAGAGCATCATTAAAACGACCACAGTGACCTAAACCTACACGAGCGCCGAAAATAACACATAGTTTGAGGGGAGTTCCACTGCACTGGTCGCCAAGCTGAGTTGATCAGCAAGTCCAGCTTCGGCGTCAGGGTGGAGCCAATGGGCAGTTGGGCCAACCGACTTCAAACGCCTCCCACCGTGCCCGTTGCCCCTGTCCGGACGGCGTTTGCCATTCCGATTTCCCAGGCCATGGACGACAGCTCCTTCTGCAGCTATGATGGCCAAAAGGTGGTCTCCAAAGCATCTTGTCACGTCTTGAACAATTCGTTTACTCGTAGGAACGCCGGCATCGATTCCTAGGCGGGGATCCAGGATGCGCATGTACGCACTCTCGATTCGTTTGGGTGTGGAGGCACAAAACTTGGCTGGGGAGTCTCGAGGTAGGTGGGCCGTCCATGCCTTGTGTCGTTTGAACGAATTGTCCACATCGTTGATTAGGGAACAGTCCCAACACATCAATTCGGGGCTGTTCCCGATTGGCCTGCCTGCGAAGACGGTTCCAGTGTTGAGTTCGTGCTCCGGTAATAACCATCGGTGCAGATATCCCTTGAATCTCATCCAGTTGATCGTAGTCGTGCATGTCATCTGCGTCAATGCATCGTGCCAGAAAACCCAGTTCTCTTCGTGGGGAGTCCCACGCATCACTCGTGCCGACTCGGTGACGATGTGCTCGATTAGCGTTGTCACACAGCAGTGCCCTGCCAAGGCAGATGAGCGATCAATTACATTCTCCCAATCGTCCCCATAACGGGATTGGTAAGGATTGGATGCCAGTCTGTGATCGATCTGAGTATCAATGTAGACTCCGGGAGTGGCGAGCATGGCCTGAGTTTGGAATGCCTGCAGGCGCCGCAGACTGACACCACGTAAGGTCGTTGTCAGGGAAGTGATTTTTGTCGCAGCCAACGCCCCAACAGTATCAATTCCGAGGCCACGTAATTGGTCTCGTAAACGTGGTCCCACTCCACGCAGTTTTGAAACGCAATCACCTTCGAAAACAACTACCGGTAGTAACATACTGTAAGCCACTTAT